AGGGGCAGCCCCCCCCCGCAAGGGCAGGCTCCTGCCGGCGACCATGCTACGGTAATTGCGCCGCTTTGAGCCAGAAACTAGGCGAGTTTAGGGAGGAGCTCGCTCCTGCATCTGTCTTCGGGAAATAATTACCCCGAGCCTGCCCCGGAGGGGCTACCACGGGGCACTCTCCGGGGAGACCCCTGGAGGATAGTGCATGCCCTGGGTTCCCTGCGCGGTCACCGCTCCCCTCAGCGCAGCCCCACGACCCGCCCTAGAAACCCCTTGTGACGAGTTGGGATCTCGCTGTTGCGGCGGGGGCTAAGCACATTCTCTTCTCCTTTACCCTTCGGTTGCAACCCCCGATTTCAAAAGGAAAGAGAAGCTAATTTCCACCCGGATTTCTTTTAGCTGTAACAAGACCACAGACCTTTCCTGGGCTTTATAGAAAATGATGCTGTTTTTCAGATGGCTAATAATAATAGCTACCCTAACAACCACATTACAGAAATACATTACTAGGCACCTAATCCATTCGTAACAGGGACATTCGAAATCGCTTGCATAGGAATACTAACTCTGAAGACATAATTCATTGCAGAATTGATTGCTTTCTAAGTGGTGAAAATTCTGTTTTGGAAGCTGGGCATCTTGCACAAAATTCATTATTTTAATACCTTAACATATTTCACCCATCCCGCAGCCCATCCCTAAATCTCCCCGTGATTTCCCAAGGAGCAGCTGTGTGCGAGTAAAGCCCACCGAATCAGATTCGGACTTTGCGCCACATCTTGTTCGTTTCTCCTAGCAAGGGGGGAATAAAACGTGTAACGGAATCACAGGTCTAAATATGGTCCTGTCTGAATTCAAAGGGATGCGCGGAACGGGCTTGCTTCCAGCCCCTCGACTCGGGAACACGGGCAGTGTTAGAGTAGGTAAGACGCGCTGATGGATGTGGATCTAAGGGAGAGAGTGGAAGTGGCCAAACACCGTTGGTGAAACTAACAATAACCCGGCAGGGCATCGCGCCCGTCGATTTTCAGTAGGTTAGAAAAGCGTTTTAATGCACGTGATACGATCCTGCTTCATGCCAAGTTCCTTGGTCACTGCTGCCCCTGGCTTAAAGGAATCGTAAGACCCACCCCCCGTTTCCATTTTCAAAATGTCCCTGCGGTACTCCGAGAGCTCTCCGCGGAGCGGGACTGGCTGGAACGAGAGAAGACGCTCCCCGCAGCCCGCGCTCCGCATTTTAACCACAAGGCGCGGCTGCGGGCTGCCTACACTCACCCCTCGCTGTCTGGGCGGGGCGGGCGGTTCTGCTGCCGGGCTGAAGAGCCCCTTGCAAAAGCCGTGCAGCCCTAGCCAGCCCTGCAATGCGGTAGGAGGGAGAGCGAGCAAGCGCTACGCCACCCGGCTGGCCTAACAGTGTCCGAAAGGGCAAGAGCGACTCTCAAGCCTCCTTCTAACGGAAGTCAGCAGAAAAAAGAGACGGGAACGTAAATCTCCCTCTGGCGCTGGGGGGCCCAGTGCAGCTTGCCCTAAAGTGCTAGGTGTCGGCGGGAGGTGAAAGCCGGCGGGTTTTGGTTCGGAGCGAGTTCGGGGGTGAGGCGGAGAAGTCTGAGATCTGTTTACAAGGAGGAAACTTTAGGGTCGCTGGGTGGGTGTCTCTGCATTTGTGCTAGTGCCTCCCCCGTCTTCCTGTGGTAGAACCTATGGAAAAGAACATAGTTCTGGGAACACAGATCAACAGAGTGTGTTGGGGAAGAGTTAACAGGCCTTTGTAAAGGGAAGTCACCCCTCGTCAATCTATTGGAGGGCAAGCATGCGGATAAGAGTGTATATAATGTACTTGGATTTGCAGAAAGCCTTTGGCAAGATCCTGCACCTAAGACTTTTAAGGAAACTCAATAGCCAAGGGATAAGAGGAAGGTCCTTTCATGGGTTGATAACTGGTTAAAAGACAGGAAACAAAGGGTAGGAATAAATGGTAGAGGAGCACGGTGGCAGCCATAAGGATCTGCACTGGGAACTGTGCTGTTCAAAATATTTTGTTAATGAGCTTGAAAAGGCAAAGTTTGCAGATAGCCCAAAATTATTCATGATCATTGACTCTGAAGCAGACTGTGAAGCATTGCAGAGGGATCTCACAACATTTGGGCTACATCTACATTGGCATGATCTTGCACAAATACTCTTTAATGCAAACGTTCTTGGGTTAAAGTATTTGTGCAAGAGAGCATCTACACTGGCATGTGCCTTTGCACAAGAGTTGTGCTTTTGCCCAAGAGCATCCATGCCAGTGCAGACACTCTCTTGCACAAGAAAGCTCCAATAGCCATTTTAGCCATCGGGCTTTCTTGAGCAAGAAACTCATGTTGCCTGTCTACACTGGCCTCTTGTGCAAGAACAGTTGCACAAGAGGGCTTATTCCTGAGTGGGAGCATCATAGTTCTTGCACAAGAAGCACTGATTTCACACATTAGAAGTCAGTGTTCTTGCACAAGAACTCCCTGCCAGTGTAGACAGGCAGCATGTTTTTGTGCAAAAGCGGCCGCTTTGGCGCAAGATTGCGCCAGTGTAGACACAGCCAATGATGGGCTCTCAATTAGTTGCTACCACCCAAGACACAGATCTTGGAGTCATCATGGCTAGTTCTATCAAAATATCAGCTCAATGCACAGCAGGGGCCAAAAAGGCTATTGGGCACTATTAGGAATGGGATAGAACACAAGCCAGAGAATACACCTTGAATATTATACCAGTTCTGCTTGCCCCTCAAAAAGGATAGAGCAGAACTAGAAAAAGTTCAGAGAACCGCAACAGAGATGACCATGGCTGTGGTAATGGCTTTCCTGTGAGGAAAGACTAAAAAGATTAGAGCTTTTTAATCTTAGGAAAGAGATGACTAAGGAAGGTGTGATAGAGGTCTATAAAACCTCGAGTGGTGTGAAAAAAGTGAAGAGATAAGTGTTATCAATGCTTTGACACAATACAAAAAAAACTGGACAGTGGGTGAACTTGGTAGGTAGGAGGTTCCATATAAACATGAGGAAATATCTTTTCACACAGAGCACAACTAACCTGTGGAACTCATTGCTATTGCATGCTGTGAATGCCAAAAGATGTGACTCGATTAAAAAAGAATTGGATAAGCTCACAGAAGCCAGGTCCTTCAATGGCTGTTAGCCAAGATTGTCAGGGATTCAGTGCCATCCTCAGGGCAACCCTAAACCTGACTGACAGGTGGTGGGAACAGAAGACAGGAGTGGATCACTTCATAACTGTCCTTTTCTGTACACTCTCTCTGAAGTTCTGATATGGGCCATTATTGGAGACAGGATACTGGGCAAGATGGAGCTTTGGTCTCACCCAGTTCGTGAGATCATTTGTTTTCTTATGTTCTCTGTGTTTCTATGTAGACAATTCCTCTGCTGTGTGTTTTACACAAGTATCAACTGCTGGTTTTGAATCTGACCACACATGTGTGTCAGTTTCTGGGAGGGTCTGTTTGTCTTTCTTGCTCTGCATGTGTCTTCTGTGACTGTCTTCTATTTCTGTCACTCTATGACCTGGAAATATATGAATTCCAATTATGGGATGATTGGGAGGGAAAGGTCAGATACAATACAAAACCAGCCAACCAAGTACTACTGCCACCACCTCATTGGTAAATCCATAATAAAAGAGACATAGTAGAAAGGTACCTGATGAACAGCTGGAATTGCTCATACAACATAATTATTACTCCTAGACACAATCAAAATTGCATCATCAGCCATTTTTTTGCTGGAAATTAAATTAAAATGACAAAACCCTCTATGCCAGTTCCTTCCTGCCTTCCACACCTGCTTTCCCCAACAGAATTCTGTTTTCTCCAACTGTGTTGTTGATTTAAATGTGATCCTGGAAGTGCAGTCCCTTGTTTACTGGACTTTCCTTGAGTGTTGCCCTGCCCTCACCTTTACTAGATTAGGCACTATTTGCTTGGGGAACTGTTTTATGATATATTGTGCAGTTGCCTTGTCCATGCTATAGAATGGTACCATGTCCCAGTGGGCGTGTGCCAACGCAAGCTGCAGCAGTGCAATGCCTTCACACTAGTCATCCTGCTCTGGGGCACATACACACACCAGAGTATCCTCATACCGAGCACCCAGGGCCTGTGGGCTGCTGCTTCCATACCATAATCCCCAGCACAGCTCTTTGGATTTTCCGGGGAGTAGATGCATGTTATTTCTTTTTTGTCATGTCTATGTTGCCTCTCATTCATGTTTGGTCTGTTCCAATGGACCATGGGATTCTCGCCTGGCAGTGCATGTTTAGGGAAGGACAAGGGACCATGTCCTGGATGTGTCCTCATGACCACATTGTGGAGAACACCAGATTCTACCTAAAGCTTCTGAGGACTGACT